TCTATTCTATTCTATTCTATTCTATTCTATTCTATTCTATTCTATTCTATTCTATTCTATTCTATTCTATTCTATTCTATTCTATTATTCTCTATTTTTCTCTCCTCTGTTCTACTCCATTCCATTCCATCGATTCTACTCTACTCTACTCTACTCTACTCTACTCTACTCGATTCTATTCTGCACTCTGTTCTGTTCTATTCTAATTCTAAATCTATTCTAAATCTAAATCTATTCTAATTCTAATTCTGAACCTATTCTAAATCTAAATCTATACAGTTCTGTTCTATTTCTGTTCTGCTCTACTCTAATATTTCTATTGTAATGTTTTGATTGCTTTGTGTTTTGGGGCAGTGTTGGGTTGTTGTTGGTTTTTTTGAGTTTTGTATTTCGTATTTTAACCTTGTGTAGAACAAAATAAATAAATAAATATATTTAAAAAAAAAGAAATCTTGAATTTTTACCTTACAAGCCAGTTGCTTTTCAAACCTTGGGGAGACAAATGTCCAGGGCCCCATGTTCTGAGGTTCTTCCTGACTCCAGACAAAAGCTGCAAAACAAAAGTTCCCCCTTTAGCCCAAAATGTATATTGCCAAGTCAGAAATTTGTTGACTGAGTTTTGCCCCGTTTTACGACTTTTCTCGCCACATTTCACGTTAGGTGAATCACCGCAGTCTTTCAGTTGGTAACACGGTTGTTAAGTGAATTGGGTTTTCCCATTGACTTTGCTTGCCAAAAGGTCGTAAAAGGGGATCGTGTCATCCCAGGACATGCTGACCGTCGTAAATATGAACCAGTTGTCAAGCATCCAAATGTACATCACACGACCATGGGGATGGCTGCAGAAGTCGTAAGTGCGAAAAACGGTCATAAGTCACTTTTTTCAGTGCCACTGTAACTGACATAGAGTCTGCTAACCTTTGGCATTAGTGAACTTGTTCATCTCTTGTCGCAGAGCTTCAAGAGGGAAAGGACACAATTCTTCTAATCTCACAATGGCAGTGGTGTGCTTCTTTTCTTCAAGCAGCTCTCGGTGTTTGGCCAAAGTGTAATAATGCTTGCCAGAACAGAGAATCACCTTGCTGACACTAAGGAGCAGGAAGAACGGAATTATTTCCAACACAAGAGAGCCCATAAAGTGAAGCCTGCTTGTTAATTCAGTCATTAAGCGAACACAGTTGTTAAATTTTTTTCTGGTTTATTGGGAGTTTTAAACTTATAAGTCGCCCAGAGATGTCAGGAATAAGTTGGGTGGGTGGTTATATAAATTTTCTAAGTAAAATGAACGAATGG